AAAAAAAAAAAAAAAAAAAAAAAAAAAAAAAAAAAATTCAGAGTTGGAACTTAACTTTGTTGTGAGCTCTTCAATGAATTAGTAAAAGAATTCTTGCTAGAGCTTGTCACCAGTGACTTTAAGTAGACTTTTCTAGATGGTAGTGTAAGATTCTGGCTCCAGCCATAGACACACAGAGTCTGCATACATGTGCTTTCATAGATGGCCTGCATTTGAGGCTGCAGTTGAGTGTTAAAGCTTTTGTAGCTGCCTTAGCATGAGAAGTGATTTAAGCAGGTATACAAAGGTGTCCTTTGTATAAGCCGCAGCCCCTTCCTGCACCTGGCCATTTTGCCAAGAGACAAACTCCCATGTGGTGAATGTGAGCAGCTCAGGGCATTCACTCTACCTGTGCTGTTGGGGTATAATCAGTGTCTGTTTGTGTGATAGAAGAATAATGTGCATGAGAAATGACAGCATTCTGGGTGTAAGATTATTTTGTGCAGTAATTGGAAACCACCAAACATTAACAAAGTAGTTTCTACTTTGCAGATATTGTTTAGAATTGAGAATTGTTTTCAGTATGTATCTCCATATGAGATGTCTTTTTTTTTTTTTGAGATGGAGTTTCACTCTTTTTGCTCAGGCTGGAGTGCGATGGCACGATCTTGGCTCACCACAACCTCAACCTCCTGGGTTCAAGAGATTCTCCTGCCTCAGTAGCTGGAATTACAGGCGTATGCCACCACACCCAGCTATTTTTGTATTTTTAGTAGAGATGGGGTAAGACTATACTTTCAGGGATCATTTCTATAGTTTGTTACAAGATGGGCTTTCTCTGTGTTGGTCAGGCTGGTCTTGAACTCCTGACCTCAGGTGATCTGCCTGTCTCAGTCTCCCAAAGTGCTGGGATTACAGGTGTCAGCCACAGCACCTGAGATGTGCCACAGTGGCTGAGATGTCTTCTATTCAGCCCTAGGGCAGCTTGAATCAGACAGATTGTTCAGATACCTTGCTTTGGTGGAATGGTGATTAAAAAGTAGTGAAAGAAGGCAATGATAAGCATTGACTGAGTAGAGGAAAACTGGGGAGAAATGGAGAGCCTGTGACTTATGAGTATTTTTACTCTTATAGATAAATCCTGTTTCAATGCATTCTTTAACTTTGAGGATATGCAAGAGATCACCCAACACTTTGCTGTCTGTCATGTGGATGCTCCAGGCCAGCAGGAAGGTGCACCCTCTTTCCCCACAGGGTAAGACCACGAAAAGATCCTCTGGGAGACATGCACTCAGAAGAGCAACTGGCTGAGCTCCAATGGGAGAAGTGGTGTGTGCTTCCCTTTGGTTTTATTACAGTCTATAGGTTATGCTTATCAACCAACCATCCTCATATTTTCTCTCCTTGGGCTGAGAGGACTGTAATGTATAGTCTTTTGGGGGAAACTGTATGTTTTCCCATATCCAGGAATGACTCTCCATAGCAGGTGCCTGCTTTCCTGTAATCTCAAGGCGTGTCTGGAACACCTACTTCTCACTGTCTTTATCTGTTCCCTTCCTCATCTATTTGAAATCTGTCATTTTTTAGCAAGGCATGGTCACTCACACCTATAATCCGAGCACTTTGGGAGGCCAAGGCAGGATGATTGCTTGAGCCCTGGAGTTCAAGACCAGCCTGGATAACAGGAAGACCTTGTCTCTACCAAAAATTTAAAAATTAGCGAGCCAGGCATGGCAGCATTCACCTGTGGTCCCATCTACTTGGGAGGCTGTGGTGGGAGGATCACTTGGCCCCAGGAGATTGAGGCTGCAGTGCCTGGGTGAAGACCCTGTCTACATAAACAAAACAAGAAAACAAAAAACTGTCATTTTTGTGTCCTTCCTCGAAACTCCCAACTACCTAGGCCCAAACTCACATCCCTCTGAGCTTTCCTGGGAGCATCTCCCTATCCTTAACTCTCAATCGAGTAATGGAAATTTGACTATCTGTGTAACTATTTATTCTTAGAGGCTGTCCTGGCAGAAAGAGGTGTGGGCTAATTGATTAGCTTTGGCACTCAGCTTCCTCCTGTGTCTGCTTTGCAGGGCAGAGTTACAGGTTCCATACCTGTTTGTTCCCTGGACAGTGTGCTTATTGAGAAGACCTTAGGTAGAGTGAGAGCACACTCTGTGGAATGCTAATTCTTCCCTTCCTTTCACTCATCTCCAGAGCTGCCTTTGGCCAGTGACTGCTGGGAAATAGACAATTGCAGACAAATAATAGCTAATACTTAAATAATATTCAAACCATGTTCCAGACACTGCTTTAAATGCTTTACATTTGTTAACTCATTTACTTCTCACAACCCTATGGGATAAATTTACTATAATTCCCATTTTATAAGTGAGGAAACTGAGGCCCAGAAAAATTAAGTAATGTGGCTAACATTACATAACACATAAGTAGCAGAGCTAAGATTTGACCCCAGACAGTCTGTTGCCAGAATCTGTGCTCTTCTACCTTTGAAATGCAAATTGGCCATTGGTCAGTTTATATCCAACAAGATTTGGATCCAGTTCCTTTTTTCTATTTTGTGCACAAATGGTTCCACAGCACACCATCCCTTAAGTGTTCAGGCAGAGGCAGGCTGACTTCCCTGTGAGATGTTGAACAGATCCTGCCTCATATATAAGTCGTTGTCTTACAATCAATTCCATCTTCAATTCTCTAATCCCTTTTTTTTTTTTTTTTTTTTTTTTTTTTTTTTTTTTTTTTTTTTTTTTTTTTTTTTTTTTTTTTTTTTTTTCGAGTCAGGGTCTT